AATTCTTTATTTTATACTTAAAATTTAAAATTAACACTCACTAAATCTGAATCACACTGGATAACATTGGTCCCAATTATGCCACTGAAATCAGTGAAATTCAATCAAAAAAATTAATAAAACATGGAATCTCTAACTTAGCTAATTTTGTTTTAGTCAAATGAATTAAATAAATTCAATATGTTATATATGATGTTAGAATTAATCCACAAATATCGGTATTTTAATTACGTAATGTTTGAATTTTCTTTCTTTTTCAATTGAGTATCACTTTATATATATATATATATATATATACACTATCTTCATATCTATATAAACTGTTCATTTTATAAGGAATTATGTCATTTATAATAATCAGCAATACTTTTTTCTTCAATACATAATGATATCTATCCTAAATTTCAATATATTTAACAGATTAAACAGAATCGATCATTTAAAAACATATTTTTAATTAAAAGTAGATTATCATTAAAAATGTTTATTTCATAGCTTTACATAAGTTCTTCCAGGGAAAAAAAGTTTCATTAACGAGATATTGAGTAAAAGCAGTGGCGACATATAGAAACAATTAGAAATAACCCAAACTGCTCTGATAAAAAATTTTTTATGTATGAATATGTACATATAAATATGTATGTATAAATATTCATAAACATACATAATTTTATATGAAATATGTCCACACAATGTTCATACATCCTTCTTTCTTTTGTAAAATTATTTTTTAGTGTAACAGAGATAACAATAGTAATACAAAAACTTTAAAAATAATTTAAAAAGTAATTTTCATACTATTTATTTTAGAAAAAATCAAGTTCGAAGAAATATAAAAATTACTTATGTATAATTATATATAAAATTATGCATAATTGTGTACGAGCAATTTTTTTAACATTTTTCCAAACTTGTTTTTTCTAAAACATACAATGCAAAAATTATCTCTTTAATTCCTTTTTTAATGTCTTCACATTACTATTACATATTGTTATTACACTAAAAATAAGCAAAAAATGATATTTACCGCAAAATTGCTCCGCCGATGCTTGATGCCTTTCCCAGACCTCCTCCTCCTCTCAGAAATAAGTTGATCCTCTCGCACAGGACACTCGCGTAAAACACTCGCGAATAATATACTATAATCGCACGCGGACTAATTATTTATAAAAGTCTTTCGCGCGACACTGCGGCACTCCACGTTTACAAAACTCATGATAGGATTTCATTTCGATCGATGGAATCAACATCACATGTCGACGAGTACTTGCGAAACACGATGAATGCCAAACAAGAGTTAAGCCCCACACGAAAGAAAACGAAATCGATCATATCGAGTCCGTCACCTCTGTTTTATGCAAAATCACGTTTAAAATTGGCTCAGGCATACGTCCTAACTGCTAGTTCTAGTGGGACACAAGTGGTGCTGTACCACGAGCGATTCCAAGAGACTGGTAGACGTGACAAGCGCCTCTAATAAGAGAAAAGTTGGTACCATTGCCGATTGTCTAACAATCTAGACAATTCAGGAAATGAGGATCCAACTCCTCGTCACGAAGCTAGTTTTTTAAAAAAACTACTAGAGCTAGGTTCTGCCCAAGTCAGATTAAACGCGATTTAGGCTGATAGATAATGACAGAGAAATAAGCGCTTGACCAGAATTATACAACTCCTTTTTGAGCGACTTATCAGGGCAGAATTCTATAACTCGTTATACAATCGTGCTCATGATGACTGCATAACTCGAGTTATCGAATACAGGCCCAGAAAAGAATCCGAGTCAATCGATCGCTTCTTATCGTTAAGGGCCAAACTATTGGCCGGTAGACAGAGCGCGTCCTCAATTAGCCGACAGCAACAGTAGTTGCTAAACCGCGCGAACACGCATCACGAAATGCGTGACATTACGCGGCCGGCATCACCTCGTGCCCGGAGCACTTAGCGTGAGAACGTTGCAGTGACCGTAACCACCTCAGCAACGTCCCAAAGAGAATTCCGCTTTCCTGTCGAAGCATCGAAGATATGATTTCATCGCCGAAATAGAATTTCATCGAATGGGTTTTGTTAAAAGTTCATTAGTCCGATAACTTGAACGGCACTCCCGAAGCAAACGCGCGACGCGACGAACCGGCTGCGGTTCGTTCACTTTCATTTATATCGGCGACGAGGGTACGTTAGCTTCCCCTTCGTTGGATTTTTACATAAAGAGAATGATTTTACTCAAGTATTTAAAAATTTTTCTAGGTATATCATTCTAGATATAGATTCGAAAATTTTTAGATACTTGAAAAAATCATTCTTTTCGTGTATATCCTCCAGGTACTGAGCCCTCTCACCACGTCAAGGTGTACCCGTGGGAGGGAAAATATCACCTGAAAAATGTAAAATGTAATATACTATTTTCTATGTTACTATACAATTGTCGATTAACTTGTAGAAATGAAACATATATCATATGAATATCAAAATCCACCACCATTGCGAAATAAATTCAAAGCAGATAAAAGGACTGAATCTCTTATTATGATGTCTGTAAGATACGATTAGAGTCAATGAGCTATGAGATTAATAAAAAGAGAAATGTTTCTTTTATTAATGATAAATAGTTTCGAAGTTTGAACTCAATTTTTTATCATATTACGGAAGATGCACGAAAACGAAAAATTAATTAAATTATTAATTACATACATATTATTATATTAATTGTGAAAATAGGAATCGCATAAATTACGTTATTTGCAAGAAAGTATTTATTAACATTGCTTTTTATGACTCGTGTGATACTGTTCGAAGAATCGAGAGTTATACTTAAGCGAGACTCAAAAATGTTACATTAAATAAAGATAATTGTCCGTAATTATCGCGAAAGAGTAATAAATTCTGTTTTTCCATTTTAATTCCAAATGAATGAACTGAAATATTTGTTCCGTGATATACGATTATTCTTCCCGGAAAAAAAAGTTTCATATATAATTATACATATATAAAATTGACATATTTTATATATAATTATATATAATTATATAATATAAAATATGTTCATATATAAAATTTTTTTCCGGGTTGAATTTAATGAAAATATTTACGCACGCTTAACGCGTTCAAGTTTTTTCTTCTGAATGTGGAACAATGAATATTTAACTATTCAGAATTAATCATTAGGTAGTTGATTGTCGCTTTCGATGGCGGCATTATGGCACCAAAGCTATACTTTCTAGCTATATCCCTCATAAATAATATAGAACTTGGATGAATAGGACACGTGGAAAACGATACATCGTCAGTCTTACAAAGTGGCTCATACCTTTCGAACGTGTTTTGTTCCGTTTCAACATAAAAGGTGCCTTACGTAATACGATGAATCAGAAAGACATTTTCGATATAATAGTGGCGTATTATTAATAATTAACGTACCAATAAGAATTGAAAATGGGATTTCTCATTAAATAGTACGCAAGACGATATATTCGTTCACGATATTGTAAAGGCGGCTTCGAATTATCTTATTTCTTGGTAGAGTTACGATCAAAAAGGTGATTGTCGTAGTTTTAAAACTATAGATTTATAGTTTTAGACTATAGATTTATATATAAGCGATACCTACACTTTTATATAATATATTTTTGTTTTTCATTCAATTACTATAAATTCAATCTAACTTGTTAAATTAAAATATAAATTACTACTAATTTCCTCTAAAATTACAAATTTTTTAATTTTTAAATTATCTGTATTACAATGCATTGTATGTTTCAACAAAAGCAAAATCTGTTGAAGAGTTCACGCGACACGGAGGTATCTATAAGTCATAGTATGATCGATGTGTCATTGCACTGTACCCACTAACATCGATTGCAACACCGTGATATAAGAACAAATATGTGAAAAAACACACGTATAAAACGTATAAATAAATAAAGAGATAGACATATCGAATTAAAGCGCAATAAAATATGAGTTCGTTTCCCTAGTCCACCACTCGATCAGGGTTACTGTGATAG